AATGTTACAGTTGACATCATCCGGAACAAACCAAAAATGTAACGGCCTTTTCAAGATACCCGGAAGAAACACAAACAGTCCTAAACATCTTTACGAATCCCTTAAATTTTATAAATTTTCAAGGCCAGATTTCAGTAAAAATTTTGTGTTCATTAGAGCTTCTCCCGAGAGAGGGGTGTTTAACACCCAAACCCCCCGTCTACGTCCCTGGTCGAGGCAGTAAAAGTAAAAAATAAGCAAAATAGATAAATCTTGAGACCAATTTTTTTGATCAGTTTTGAGTTGCTAATGTGAAATGCAGATTTTGGGCACTTCTTTTATAAAACCTAACAGATCTCGAAAACCATTACATCAACCAACTTGTAACTTACACAATTTAAAAAGCAACAATTATGATTATGACAAGAAATGATTTTTTACTTTTTGTCAATCAGAAATTGTGAAAATACTTAAAACTTAACTTGAAATCATTAAAAATTGTTAAAGCTGTTAAACTAGTAAACGATGAGAAAACATGAATTCCATAAGGATCCGATAAGAGTGAGAGAGTAGCCCTACTTGCTGCGACGTTTTTTCATAGTAAAAGCCGAGGCCTTGTAAAAAAAATTCGATATTTTAAAAACTAAAAATGGCTCATCCTTTTTAAAAAAAACCGATTGTAACTAATTTTAATTACTAAAACCGGAACTACAGATTTTCAATTAGAGGGTACTTTTTCAAAATTGACCTTTTTAAGCAAACTAAAGAAAAATAGTAAAAAAAAGTTTCCGAATAAGAATATTTTAGAAACTGCATTTATTTAGTCGAATAATTATTGTTTCGACATTTTAGAAAATTATTCGATTAATCAAAAAAAAGTAAAGAATAAAGTTTATAAAATTAAATCAATGAATTCCAAACATCTAAAACAATTTATTTTTGCTCAACATTTTGTACTTTTACTCTTTTATTGTTCTTTCTTCTGTTCTTACTGTTCTTTCTTTTTTGTTGTGATTGAAACTTGAAATCACAATTTTGTAGGTCAAAAAATTACTTTGCATCTGACTGATTCTATATCCTCCCAAATTTACTGTTACCTCAATTCACTAAATGTATAAATGTATTAATTGTTAAGTTGTTAAGTTAGCTGTCCATAGTTAACTATTCAAATAAATAAAAATAATAAATAAATACATTTACTAAATTTTACATTTGGGTTAAAAAATAAGATATTTTTTACTGCTATTTACTCTTTTAGCATATTTTTTATTAACAACCATTTCTAGATTTCCATAATATTTGAATGCTTCTGGGTCAAAGTCCCATACAATGTGTTCCATCACGCACAGGTTCCGCGGTATAGCTTTGAATTCAAAAAACCGATGTTTGTCGACAGTTGGAATTATGTGGCCTATCTAATTGCACTGTCAAAAAACAAAGTTGAAAATCCCAAAATGTTCACTACTTCTTTGATGAAAAACGAATTCTAAAAATTCAATCTTAAAACATGACAATAATTAGGGATCGTTGGCCAAGACAGCGATTTCACTGCTGATGATTGTAGTTGGTTACTACATGACACATGCATGTACAGTGAAGCCTCTTCGCTCCTTATTGTGTGTTGGCATAATGCCAACGTCTTGAACTCCTTGAAGTCTATGCCGGCATGACATAGCTTAAAACTTCTCTATAACAAAAAAAAAGCTAATCTTTAAATAAAATCAAAAAATATAAAAAATCCAATAAAATATCCTCATGAAAATGCCCTAAATCGAAATAAAAACATTGAGTGGTTAGTAGATTCCATGAATAATAAAAAACAGAAAAGCAATAGTATTTTAAATAAATTATTTCCGATTATTTCTATGGGAGCTACTAGTTTGCAAGTCTATAAAAATAATATAAAACAAGAGAGAACGTTATAGTCGGGTTAGTGTCCCGACTATCTAATACCCTTTACTCAGCTAAAGGGAGTGCGAGGGAGATGGATATATACAATTTTTTTGAATGCGTATAACTTTTTAATGAATGGTCCGATTTGAAAAATGGGTATAAACATACACAACAAAATTGAATTTTTACTTCTCGGAAATCTTTAAAGGTGGTGGCGCCAGACCCATATTAAAATTGTCAGTGGGCGATTGTGTGCGTTAGAGGGGGCGATCGGCTAAAACAAAATTGCGCTGCGTAGGAAGCCCAAGAATCGACCTTATTAATCCCAACTTTCTATCTTTTATAGTTTCCGAGATCTCAGCGTTCATACGGACGGACAGACGGACATGGCTCGATCGACTCGGCTAGTGACCCTGATCAAGAATATATATACTTTATGTGGTCGGAAACGCTTCCTTCTACGTGTTGCATACTTTGCACGAATACAATATACCCTTTTAATCTACGAGTAACGGGTATAAACACAGTTTTGTATGGACTTTTGCTCAGAAAAAAAATGTCACGGACAATTTTTGTAAATTTTTTACTGTGTACCTGTGTAATTGAAAAATAAAATTTAACAATCCAAGCAGGCTAAAAATTCTCTTCGTGGTTAAATTTTCTGTAAATAAATTCTAGTTAAAATCACCCAGTTGCTGTTAATAGAGGGTTTTGTCTTTAAGATACATATTTCAATTGCGTTCGGATGCAACTAAAAAGTGCATAGGAGCGAGCTTTCTGGTCCGGTTTCTTCAAAAACAATGAAATCAAACAACTCAAACTGGCCCGATTGCGATTGCAGAGGATCTTTGCTCAGTTTGCAAACCAGGCTTACTGAGCGGCCTAGCACACCTTTCTTGTTTTATTTTTATTGATTTCTTGGATTCGCATTCACCTGTTGTTATTTCGAGTGTGCTGTTGCTTTTTTTGTTGCAACGGCGTAAAAAAAGCAACAGCATTAGCGTCGACAATACAACTAGTTTTCCGTGCTGCATTCCCGTCGACTGTCGTCTTATGTCGTCCCGGCGGATCGACGCTATTTGCAGCATGGCTATGTGGATTCGGACTTTATCTATATAACCCAAAACATGTTTTTCGCTGCATTTTCTTAATAGACAGAGACTTGCAAGATCTGTGCTCTTTCGTAAACGTATGCACATAAGGATGGACATTAGTTTTAAGTTTTCAGAACTAGATCCTATTAATTGAAACACTCGGTTAAATTACCTGATATACTGGAGGGAGTCGATTTAAAGGTTGAGCATACATTGAAATATTTTTTATATAAATTATCTGGAACTGGTAATGTTAGTTGGTACTACAAATATGAAATAATTCTTAAGCTATAGGGATATTCACAAATTAATTATCAGATCGTTTGTACTTTTATACATACTTAATACTACGTAGCACTGGGATACTAATAAAGTTAGTTAAATTGAATTCAGTTAGATGAAGGTAGCTCTGTTTTGCAACATTTGGTACCCGATAATAAAATTATGTTACGTAATTGCTAGTCAATAATTAACAAATACTTATCGACAAATACTTATCTTTGGAACGTAATGTTATTGCTTATTAATTATTATTATTTCTGAAGTTTTCTCCAAGGGTATTCCAAACTTCGGTCCCGAAAACTAGCCTTTCTTTCTTGTTTAGTTCGTTGCTGCTAATTTTTTCTGTGGGCCAGTTTTGCCAGATCTCTCAGGCAGAACTGGATAAACAACCTGTCATGTTGCCCCCCGTACGTACTCCTCAAGTTGAACTTAATGATCGTGCGTGCAAATGGGTAAGCGCTGTGGATCTTTTAAGAGTGCATGCTGTATTTTTGCGAATAAATGACTATTGCAGATACTGGCGCAGTTGATAACATATACTTCAACGCATACGGTACTGTGAACTGTAAGACTGGAACAGCACAATGCCCAGGCAGACTTTTTAATGAATTGAATGGGGCATTTGATTTATAGGACGAGAGCGCGTCACCAAACCTTTCCATCTCACTTACAAGTACTCTCTCTATCCCAAAAAACCCGTTGTCGTGCAATATCCATTTGCGTAAGCAAAATTAATAGAAGGAAGAGAGCTTGAATACGCTATAAAGGGCGACAGATCCTAAGCCGGATCATAGTCAATAGCTTCGATTTTTTTTCGCTTGCTCAACCAACAAGCCGAAAGCCTGGGGGCGGCGGGCGGCGGTCGGCGGGGCTTATCATTGTTTTGCCTTTGATTGTCTCTTTGATGTAACCGTGGACCTTATTATAACCGCTGCGGATGCGACACGGCACCTTTCCAGTCTCTACAGTCTCCAGAATTTATGGCGTTCCACAGTGACACCACTGGACAACAAGTAAACAAACCTAGCAGACAATCGAATGAACGGCAACAAAAGCAATAACTCGATGGAACGAGTATGCATGACACTGGATACCCGATACCAATATCATTAGGCCGACATGAAATCTGGAGAGTGCGAACCAAAAGCGCGATTTAGGCTCAAAGTGAAGTCTATATTTCAGACGGGAGAAATGTAGGAACGCGAATATAGGTAGGGGACTATATGTTGGCGAGTCGTAGCGAATACGAAATACTTTCGCAGTACTGCAATATTGTTGCGATTGCATTCATGTCCACATACATGCACGGACCCACAAGCACATGCGTACTCAAAAAACCAGTCCACTCCGAACCATCTCATACACGATCTCCAACTCCTTTGAGCCAGCTACTGATGAGATATTCCTCCCTGCTCCCTGCTGCCTGCTCCTCTGCGAGCATCGCGAATTTCGATTCCAGTTCCGATCACCGATAGCCCCTTGGCCCCCTTGGCCACTTGGCCCCCCCTCCCCAAAGACATTCTCGCGTGGCAATGCACCTGTCGCGACCAATGCTTGTATGCTGCAGCAACCGGCACCACCAGAGACCACGGTGAATCAGGGGAACTGGCCGAGCCACGGGCTGCAGATCCCGAAGCACTGGGAGAAGGAGAAGGAGAAACAATGCCAAACGACGTGGCAAAAGGAAACATTTTACGACCATCACATGGGGAATTTGTATATCGCCGCTGCGTAGGTACACACTATACTCACCTTTCCTCACAGAACCCGGCTGGGATTACACATCTCTGAGTTGTACTCCTTGACTAGGTGCAACAAAGACTGCTTTGTAAGCCGTTGCATGTTAGATGTATTTATAGAACAAATATACGAGAGTAATATATGTGTATATTATCTTATGGCACTTTTCAAAATTCACACTATTTTACTGCGTCACATTTAATTAGCTTCCATAACGCGGTTCGAGGATTTCCCGTTTCGCTGCCTCACCACACCCCGAACTTGGTGTACTTGGGACCATGGCATAAAGTCGGATATCCCTTGGAGCACAGTCGCAGGCACTGAATCGTGTCTACAAGTAAATACCGGGCACGGCAAGTGCGTCCCCTCGACGAGCTGGGCGCTAATAATATTATTTTTTCATCTGCGATACCTCTTTCACCTCCTAACTGCGGCTCAAATTGGATCTTGTGTGCGCTTCGTTTCCTGTAACAGACACTATTTGAGGCACTACCTTCTCTGCAAGTGAGGCTCTACGAGACACTTCCATTGTGGCATAATGTTTAGCTCTCTCGCTCTGTGATTTTGTGAACGCATCAATACACGAGTGCCGATTGGATCCTGTGGCCAGTAACAGATTGTGAAGCTCAGTGGCATTTTTTCAACAATAATGGGTCTTTGAACTGCACTGCGGCTTTGAGTCTCGGTGTTTTTGTCCCACCGTTCAATGTCATCAATGCAAAGTTTTGTAACCCACTAGGACCACAAATTGCAAGAGAGTGCTAGAAAGACACACACCACTGGTAGCATCACTAGGCATTGGATGGACATTGTACTACAACGATAGTAGTTAACACAAATTCACAAATACACAACACGGGGTAAAGGGTACATGCACATTATTCACATGCGATTGTGTTTCTTCGACTGCTTAGCTGCTTGGCTGATCATTCTTCCAGAAGAACACTTGGCACCCATGCTCTGTTTTCTGAGACTGCCGCCAAATCCTCGCAATCAGCACATGGCGGGCTTATAAACAAAAATCATTCTGGCCAAAATCGTGTGGAGTTATGCAGCATGAGGTTGGCATAGGGCTCTTCAAGTGCGGCACGCGCACGTGGAATGTGACCCAAACCACGAGAGCACCAGTAAATGAGACGGCAAAACGGCGCGTTTTGAAGCACCACCACTGCGTAGCGATGTCCAAAAGTGACTGATTCTGATTGGCAAACACGTTGCGTATGAGCAATTCTTGCCGCCAACAGCAGAGCTCTGTTTTCACCGCTTACACAGAGAGAATTCTGACGGATTCGAATTGAGTATGTGTATTCTCAGAAATTTAACTAAAGAAAAGAAAAAAACTTTAAATAATCACAAAATTCTCAATTTGAGAAACACACCTTTTATTTCCCATTTAAGAATAAATATTCTCATAATGAGTCTGACATTAATTAATAAGCTAAAAAGCTGTTTAAATATTTTAAATTTCCGAAAACAACACAAATGTACTACATTTTAATATGTATATTTATACCCGTTACTCGTAGAGTAAAAGGGTATATTAGATTCGTGCAAAAGTATGTAACAGGTAGAAGGAAGCGTTTCCGACCCTATAAACTATATATATTCTTGATCGGGATCACTAGCCGAGTCGATCTAGCCATGTCCGTCTGTCCGTCTGTCTGTCTGTCCGTCTGTCTGTCCGTCTGTCTGTCTGTATGAACGCTGAGATCTCGGAAACTATAAAAGCTAGAAGATTGACATTTTGCATGCAGATTCTAGGAGTTCCTACGCAGCGCAAGTTTGTTTCAAAAGGGTGCCACGCCCCCTCTAACGCCCACAATCGCTTATATACGATTTTAAAAATTTCAATATTTTGGAAAAGTAAAAATGCAGTTTTATTGTGTTTATCAATACATATCGAAATGTAGAAGAAATTTTTTAAATCGGACCATTCGTTAAAAAGTTACGGCGGATCAAAGTTTTTCTCCATCTCCTTCGCACTTCCTTTAGCTGAGTAACGGGTATCTGATAGTCGGGGCACCCGACTATAGCGTTCTCTCTTGTTTTTGTTTGTAATTTTGCGCTCAAAGTAAACTTTTATCATCATGCTTAACTTGTGAGTCCAAAAATACTCCATTTGAGTAAAACTAACTTGAATAATTCTCTCTGTGCACTCTCTGTTCAGTGGCAGCGATTGCCAACGCCATCTACAGCCTTAAGAGAGGAAGAGAACCGAAAATGAGAGAGGTTGGAGATCAAAAAGAGATTAGGCAGTAGGCAGTAGTAAGTAGCTAAGAGTACGTCCTTTCGACTCGTCTCTTAATTCGAAAGAGAGCTCACTTGGATTTTGCACAGAGAGGCAAAATAAGCCACGCCCCGCGCAGTATGGCATGCACACGCATATCCAGTTTTAGAGCAGCTGCCATGCGTTCTCAGTACAGTTTTAGAGCAGCTGCCTTTTTTAACACATACATATAATTCAAACTCTCTGGCATCTCCCTGCATCTTAGCTTTTAGAAAATGTTTACCTACTTGTTTTCGCAGGGATTTTCATGAGCGTCAAATTAGTGACGTGACTTAGCGGCACATGGGGCCAATTTTTATTTCTTGTTTTTTTCGGCTTCTGGGGGCCAAATTGAAAAATGTTAAATGCAAAATTGTTTAGAATGAAAATATCTATCACAATTTTCTATATTGCTCCCCTCATAGAGGTTGTACCAATATGCACGGTAAACATGGTTATTGGGCCTTTATTCGAGCTTCTTGTCAGAAAGTATCATTAAGCCGTCAGTTTTTGAGAAAATGAATAATTCTCGGATATTTCCCATACAAAAAAGGGGGGCAAATAATAAATTGTACAGGGCTCCACTCTCAGACGTTGTACCAACATGCACCCTATATTGGCAGATTGTGGATCGCCTAAAGCAAGTATCGATATAAGGTTAATACTTTCCTAGTTACGATTTTGGAACAAAGAAGATCCCGACAACGCGCTGATCGTTTTTCTCAAAAACTGACGGCTTTTTAGTTAAATTTAGCTAATGTAAGGATAAATTTATCCAGGCGGCAAATCGGGTTTCGTTTTCTCGTCCGTCATTTTAAACTCCAAATAAAAGGCGCACTAAATTGGCGACACCACAACAGAAGAGTTAACTAATTGTTAAGACAAAATGTAAAAATGTAAACGTAATGTAAAAATATTGTACCCGAAGTTACTGGTGCCATAACAAAAGGCTTCACTTAGCCTGTAGCACTGGGATAAAACCAAAAAAAAATGAATTTTAAAATACCGATGAACAGGAGACAACTCTTATTAAATCGGTGTCTTCGGAATCGCCTCCGGGAGATTAAATTCTTACATGCGTGCAATCTATGGCTCCTATAACTTTCGGAAACTTGGCTGTTTTAATTTTAAATTTTTAATACGCTGGTACTTCATAAATTGTTTTGAAAAATACGCTATAGCAAAAGATACTTCCCTAACAACTCGACTTGCTGTGGCCACGCTAACACCACAAAAATCGCCTACACTTATAAGAAAACTGTCGCTATTAGAAGCTTAACCCACGACTGTATTGTCGTTTCCCTGTAATAATGGTTTTTGATTATATGGAATTAGTTAAATCAAATGAATGCACTAACTTCATTACTTTAGATTCAAGTAGCAAAACCATTTCTTGCAAAACAAATAGCGCCGTGCTTTTACACAAGCGAAACCTATCTGCGCCGATAGGTTCGCACTTTAGACAATTCGACGATATCCCACAGAGTTTGAAGATAAATCACTCGGGTATTCATTTTAAAATAAATTGGATGACTTTAACAATTTTGATTTATGTTTAACTGTAAATAGAATCAGCTGTTTTCGAATGAAGATTGGAACCAGATTGACATTGCTCGAATGTCTGGCAACCTTGCGCGCAAATCCAACCGCACAAAATTGAAACGGTGGATGAAGTACCGAGACAAAATTTGTCGTTACCTGCGCTAACAGAAGGCTTTGTGCATGTTGGTACCACGTCTGCGAAAGTGAATTTAATTGGTAATAGAGTTAGCGTCGAATCAGAATTGTTTCCCAAAGGGTTAGAGTCATGAATACATTTTTTACATAGTGGTTCATGTCTTGGAATTTACCGGTTCAAATTTGAATTTAGCGGCACATCTTTTAACTTTTTATCTTCCCCCACTGTAAAGCGATTTTCTCAAAAACTGACGGCTTTATCTAAATGATTTTTTCACTGAACTTGCTTTAGGCGATCCACAATCGACCGTGCATGTCGGTACAACGTCTGAGAGTGGAGCCCTGTACAATTTATTATTTGCCCCCCTTTTTTGTATGGGGAAAATCCGAGGATCATTCACTGTTAGGCGATTTTCTCAAAAACTGACGGCTTTAGCTTAATGATACTTCCTGACAAGAAGCTTGAATAAAGGGCCAATAACCATGTTTACTGTGCATATTGGCACAACCTCTGTGAGGGGAGCAATAAAGAAAATTGTTGGAACACGATTTTTTGAATAGATTTTGAATGTACTTCTATAGGTATAGGATAGGTTTCTAAATCGATAGATATTTTTATTCTAAACAATTTTGCATTTAAAAAAAAAATTGGCCCCATCTTCCAGATTTCACCGTTTCACAATCGCCGCTAAGTCACTGACGCTAATTTGACGCGAAAGATAACTTCATTCTAAACAATTTTGCATTTAAAATTGTTCGATTTGGCCCCCAGAAGTCCCAGAAAGAATAAAAATTTGCCCCGTCTTCCAGATTCCACTGTTCCACAATCGCTGCTAAACTCTTCGATGCTAATTTGACGGCCATTAATTTATTTATTATAATATATATACCGTCCTGTTCCAGTTTTCACTCGGAAGTGAATTTGATATTATGCTGGCGGATTTAAGTCCGCGTGTATTTTTCGGAAGTTAACAGAGTAACAAAGAGGGATTTTTGAATCCGTGCATTCTTTCGGATATGAGTCCTGGAATAGCTCTGAGAAATTCGATTCCGTGTGAATCTTTCGGAAGTGAAAACTAGAATAAATTGTACACTGAATGAATATTTATTTTAACATGGACGTGGCCTATTCGGTTTGAAACTTAAATAATACACAAAAACATCGCCATATCGAATACGAAAACCTAAAAATCGACCTTAGCAGAAAGCTACAAGCGATACACAAACCTTGGCAAAGTACATAGGCGGGGAAATTCGCCTAACCTCATTTCTGGATAAATATACAAGTATGGATAATGGTTTGTGTCCATGGTTTGAGACCGCACTGCTTAGATTGTTGGTTAAATATGTAAATATGGAAATGGTTTGTGTCCATGGTTTGAGACCGCGCTGCTTAAATGGGGAACAGTTGAAGCCTCGGCAGTAGGAAATTTGGTCTTCGTCGAGGGTATTATGGTTTGTTCTCAGTTAAGACCATATTTGAACATAATTTAAAAACATCTGTGAAGAAATAATGCCTCGGAACCCTCTGGATCCTCCAACAGGATAATGATCCTAAGCAAACGGCGCATATCCTGAAGAATTTGCTGCTGTTTTAGGCTCTTCGACATTTTGGTTTTTGTGTATTAATAATATGGGCAATTATCTGCTGTCGCACGCGACGTTCGTACGCTTTGCAGGTGAAAAAAAAACATCTAACTAGAATCAAATATCAGTGGAAAATCGTATAGAAATATGTTTTTATCAAGTTTCAAGCTTTTTGGCTTGGTTGACATCCCCAGAGAATTGCCCATATGTAGAACAAAACTGCATCATTACTTTTCCCGTAAAAGCAATAGGAGTGGGTGAACTCCCAAAAAGGGTCGTATGTAGACTTTTGTCCGCCACTGTAGAAGACTTTTGAAAAAGTTTCATCGCTATAGCTTTAAAACAGCGGTCTGTACACACACTGATGAGCTGCCCTGTGCAATTTACTCACACAAATATAAAACAAAATGTAAATGTTTTAAAACTAACCCTGCAGTTCCCGAATTCAGCCGAGCGCTAAAATAGCACTGATAGCGACTGCGACACCGGCAGAGCCTCGGCAGAATCGACTCTCTCACCAATCGATTCTCTCTCCATCGCTATCTTTACGAAATTAAGGCGCTGAAAAAGCTGTGAATAAGCGCCTAAAATTTGTGAGGAGCACGAAATGAAATTTGGTCAAAATTCATCACAAAATCATCTACAGCGGCTCCACCGCTAAATCGGACACCTACTTTCATAAAATGAACATGCATAAATATGAATAAAATGGGTTAAATTCGTCGTTTTTTTTTGCTTTTACTTATACATTATGTTAATATCTTCCAAAAACATAAACAAAAATCACATATTTTTAACGAAAACACTTAGTTTTCCAACATAAACAACAAAAAATCCGGAAAAAATCGGACACTTGCTGAATACGGTTATTTTTTATGGAACTTACTGCAAACTTGGGGTTTGTAGTAGAGATTAAGAGCAAAAACCATTACTACACTGCAAAAAAAAGTTGGGATGGCTCCAAGGAAAGTCATTTTCTGTGAAACTTTGTCAGTTGATTGGAAAACTCAATTTCGAACTGAAAACTGTACGGAAATTCACTGGATTGGTCGGAAAAGTCAAGTCTATTTTCCAGGACATTATTATGAGGTTCCGGGGTACATTTTAATATGACAATAGAGGCGGGGAAGGCCAAATCAAGATGTTAATGACGGCATAATTCCAAAGTACCTTAAGATTTTAAAGGATAAAAAATATTTAAAAAACTCGAAAAATGTGTATATAATTGTGTATATCTGTATTTTTTAATATTTTAGTGATTTTTCCAAACATTTGGGTAATAAAATTTCCTAAAAAACTTTCCCTCTAAAAATGTCTTTTCGCTAAAAATCCCCCAAGCTCGTCAAAAAACCCCTAGATTTAGGGGGATAGCCCCAGATCTGGGAACACTGATTCTTTTTCTAATTCTCAAACGCAGGCGCCGTTTTTTCGCTAGTACTCAACCCAACAAAAAGTCGTTCAAAACAAAACACTTCATATGAAAAAAAATCAAGAAATTTTATTTCATATTCAGTTTTTGGTTTTGGACGACTTTTTGTTGGGTTGAGTACTAGCCCTTATTCAATTGCGTTCTAACTGTGATAAGTTGTTTTGAGTTTAAAAAAAAAAGTGCTATTAATCAAGAATACATTTTTAGGAAAGTAATTTTGAAGGGTATTAAAACTTTGTCTTGTCTAAATTATTATACCTTCTCATTTTTATAATATGTATGTTTTATTTTTAATATTTTTAGGTCAAGCTGATGGTACAAGTTGCATAAACAATATAATAGAGATAATTTTGTACTACAGCCCAGAAGGATGTTATTTTTGCACTGCTATATAAGTTTTTATCATTCTTGTCTAATATTCTAATATTATATTATATTATAAAAATATATATATCAGATCCCATAGGCCCCTGAAAAATCTCCATGCGCGAAAAGGCAGCCCACAAAGACTTCGGAAGCTAAGAACGTACCGAAGAACCCTACAAGTCTCGGAAGTATGTATAAATCTATTAATTTAATGTAAAAGGTATGAAAATAGTTTACCAAAAATGATGTAGTAAAATGAATTGTAAAGAAATAAACCTTTTTATATAGGCGATGAAATTCAACATATTTTTTAAGAAAATGGGCGATTAAGAGGTGATGAAAATGGGCAGTTAATAGGTGATGACTTTAATTAGGCGCTGAAAAAGCGCCAAAAAGGTGATGAGATAGGCGGTGAAAAACGGTGATGAACAGGTTTCGAGCACCGATGATCACCTAGGACATGCCCGTGTTAAAATTATCGCCATTTTTCTTACAAATTCACTAGTGATTGAGCGCTTTAAAAATCCACCATAAATCTAATTTTCCATGGATTTGGGCCATATCCGGCTTGTTTTATTCGGTAGGATGTAAACTTTAAGTTTGTACCCATTATTATTTTTCAACGGATTTATTTCGAGTTTTTACGTTACATAGAGCCGACTTACAGTCGACCAAAAACACATTTTTCATCTTTGTCGAGCTGCTGCGCTGCCATCACTTATCCAATCATAATGATCTGTATGGCAGAGTTAAGATTGACTTTAAAATGAAACGAAAACTGGCCCAATTGGGTGGTTATGAGCCGGGATATAGGAAAAAAAATCGAAAAAGGTCCAAAATTTAACATTTTGAACTTTAAAAAATCTTAAATAATAAACTGTGCCATCGAAAAAAAAGGTAGTGGTATTTTTGTTATCTAGGGCTCCAACAATTGAATCAACAACAATTGAACCAACAATTAAATCAATTGCTGCGGAGCACTTCAAGAGTATTATTTTGTAAACTAGTGTAATTCATACAAAACCTTTTGCATATTATTTTTATAATTTTTAAATTCCGGTTTTTTTTTATACAGAAAAATGTGCGATAAGTTTAAAAACGATCGGTTGAGCAATTTAACCTATTAACAAAAACACAAAAATATTGAAGAAGTAACTTTTGTCCTCCTTTTTAAATTTGTATTTAGTACTACTCGAACGATTAAGCTTTACCATTCTTAAAAAGCCAACAGTCTAATATTTTAGTTCGCGAAATCAATTTTTTCCTGAAAAGGCGCCGGAACAATAGCTTGGTTCCTAGAGAAATTCGAGCTAAGGAAGTTCACCTTATAGAAGTGTGGCTCGTATGTGGGCGGTTCTTTTACAAACCAAACGGATTTGGCCAAAAAAAAATTTCACATTTTTCATTTGTCTGAAACTTTTTTTACGTGTACTATTTGGAGTAAAAGTAAACACGTGTATAAGGATTTGGCCGAAAAAAAATTATTTTTTTTTAGAATTTTTTTTAGTTTGCCAAAAAAAGTGAATTTTGAAAAAGTACCCTCTCATTGAAAATCTGTATCTCCGGTTGTAGTAATCCGATTGACTTCAAGTCTTTTGCAATAATGCCTCTACAACCTCTTCTTAAAAAAAAATTTTTTTTTAATGAGTTTTTAATTTTTTAAAAATAAAAACAAAATAAGATTTAACAGAATTTTTTTAACGGGTTCCCCACAAAAAAAAAATTTATTTTTTAATTCAACATATGCGCCATATTGTTAGTTTTAATCGGTTTTTGTCAAAAAGGTGGAGCCATGTTTAACAAGGCCTCGGCTTTTTTCTATGAAAAAACGTCGTAGCATTAGGATATAAGATATAAGGGGCTGTCCATATATTACGTAATCATCTAGGGGGGGGGTCCACAACATGATTACTTATTATGAAGAAATGATTACATGGGGGGGGGTCAAAAATCGGCGAAATTGTGATTACGTAATATATGGACAGCCCCTAAGATATAAGATATTTTCTTATCAAATACACGCACGTAGAAGGTAATGGGCCCTAAACGGTTAGAGCGTGCCTCAAAAAGATACTTAGAATGACTTGAACTAGGAACATTCTGAAAATTTGACTTCATTATTTTTATTTTATTATCGAGATGAGTGAGATTTACACTATAGTGAACTTTATTAAGTCGCTAAATTTTTATTGCAATCTACGAAGTTTAACAATAGTTTAACATTTATTTTTGCTCGTTAAAATACAAAACTACATTGAAAGAACCCTATTTAATAAATATATATTTAGGTATGTATTTGTATTGCAGGGTGGGTCGTCAGTTTTGCTATGTAGTTAGACATTGGATCTTCCAGTCCTTAACAATATGTGGCTGCTTATGTGGCAATACAATCTATTATGACACGTTACTTGTGTGAGACCATTTCAATTTCCATTTTCGGAGGTGGCGTGAGGGAAGTTTGCCTTGCTGGCTTCGACGCCTCTATACTAGCTCGTCGCGCAGCTGCGGCCATATATGTCCCGTAGTATCTACTCAGCATGTGCGGATCGACGTGGTTGAGTTCGATATATGCATTTGGTATGGCTACTGCCAGGGTTGATGGCCTCGCGGCAGCCGGGGGCGCGGCAATGGCCTCTGCCAGTGGACATTCCTCCAGTGAGCTGGACTCCTCGTGTTGGCTACTACTACTGCCCAAGGACCTCGCCGCCGAGCTGGAAACTGAGTAGTTGTGCTGTTCAAGATCTTCGGGGTCGGGATCGGGATCGGGATCGGCATCGGCATCAAATGAAGACAGCCTGCCGTCGCTTAGGTACGAGTTATTGTCCTCAACGGAAAATAGTTGCTTCATGGCTCCTCTGCGGCTTTCCTGTTCCTCCGCCTCCGTCTCAGGATAGGAGTCCGGATCGGCATTAATGCTTTCGTCAACCACGTCAACGTTAACCTCCACATCGATATCAGTGTCAATGTCGGCATCAGCCACAGGCTGTTCCAGGCCCAGGACTACCTCGCGGTGAATGGTTTGCTTGGTGATGACCGTGTGGGTTTGAGTCGTAGTCCTTGCCGTGGCTGGCCTGACTGAGGACTCCTGATCCTCAGAGACAATGTCCACTATCTGGACATCGGGAGCCAGTAGCGAGGCCACGTCAAACTGGCGCTTCCTTGTCTGCGAGAACATGTTCGCGATGGTTGTTGTCGTGGTGGAGTTGATATACGCAATGTGCTGATGCGGGCCATGTTGCTGCTGGAGCTGAGCCGGCTGGATTACCTGTTCCAGCTGGTTGGCCTGTTGCCGTTGCATCGCCATGGCCGGGTCTGCAGGGGAGTACTGCGTCAGCCCGGGTGCCGAGCTGCGATTGAAGAACTGGCCTATATACTGTTGGTGGTACGGATAGCCCAGGGCCGACAGCTGCATCGCGGACTGGGAACTGGGCGGAGGTGGGGTGGTGAGATCCAGGGGTGGCGGGCTGGGCGAGTCGGTGCTGGCATCGTCCACCGACAGACCCATATGCTTTCGCACCTTGCGCTGAGCCTTGCGACGTCTGAAGTCCCCTTTGCGAAAATCATCCATGTTGGCGGGGTGTATTGCCCAGTAATGCCCCTTTCCATTGGCACTGCGGCCAGACTTGATAAAACAATCATTCAGTGAGAGATTGTGTCTGATGGAGTTCCTCCACCCCGGCCCGCGGCTTCTAAAATACGGATAGTTATCCAAAATGTATTGGTAAATGTCTGACAGGACCAACTTCATTTCAGTTGAGCTCAAAATGGCCATGGCTATGAGGCCAATGTAGCTGTGTTGCGGCTTTGGCTCCTCGGGCTGAAAGATGCGCTGCGTTTGGGGGAAGAGTGAAATGGTTGAGAGCGCGGCCATGCGATTGACTGCCGGAATATTGCCAGAAGCATGCGGTCCGTAGGGGCTTAAATGCAGCCACGGCGCACTCGTACCACTGCCTCCCGAGCCCCCGTATTGGGGGCATCGAAAGCGTTCAAAATTCAGGGCGTAGTTGTACAGTTGCAGGCGGTATTGCTCCAGAGCCATCGTCGTGGCCTGAGCTTGTGGACTTCTCGGTGTTCCAAGAGGATAGATGCTGGGCAAGGTTTGCTTGGGCACATTGCCGTTGTTCGATGTCCCCTGATCCTGGTCGGCCGTAGTCGCCTGCGAAGTACCCAAGTCAGAGTGAGCCATTTGCTTTTTTTACAGACGGACTATAATGATCCTTGTTACATCATCGAAGATCGTCAAATTGGACCTGTTTAAAATGAAATAGAGTACAAGATATCATCATTTACTGTGTTTAATTCAAAAATACTTTGAGTGACGAATATAACAGGCTAATACTCTAACTTATAGTCACTCAGGCAGTGGTATATATGGTTTAACAAGAGAGAATACTACATCAAATACCCGTTACTCAACTAAGGGAAGTGCGAGGGAAAGGAGATATGCGACTGCTTGCACTGCTTAAATTTAATTATTTAGTCAAAACTTTTTAATGAATCGCCCGATTTGAAAAAGTTCTATATTTCGACAGCTGTAAATAAACACAATAAAATTGCTTTTATACTTCACCAACATCTTTTAAGATGTAGGCGCCAAACACCTTTTTAAATCGTTTGATAAATCGTTTAATGAATATATACACTTTATAGTGTTGGACACACTTTCCCCAAATCAGGTATACGAAGCGTATCAGGTGAGATTGCCAAGGCGACTACTATATATACAGGAAATTTAAGAATGCTGTGATGGTCCTGATCTAGCAAAGGATACACCAATCGAAAAGTTTCGCAAAATCTTAAAGGGTTGCGTACCAGACTTTAAGTATATCAATTGATTCGGGAGAAAGAGCGGGGAAAGTGAAAAGTGTAAAGGCCTAACTGAAAATACGTGAAAATGAGGGATCTTATGATGAAATCTGACACTCCGTTCAAACAACACTCAAAAACAAGATTTTGGGGGATTTTTGAAAATTAATATGTTAATCTGCTGCTGGTCAGTTTGTCCCAAATTGATGTTAAGTTAATATCGGAACTTTCGTAAGTTGAAACACTGAACCGTCACTCTACGAGTAATGGATGTAAGTCAGGTACCGTAAATAATAATTACACTATGCAACATCTAAAATTTACCTCGATGGATGCTATATTTTGAATTCGTTACGAATTCCCAAGATAAACTGTGTTTTCCAAAAAGTTCCCCGACGCAAGGATTTTTAGCACAAGGACCTCAAAGTTCGAAAAAGGGTGAAAGTGGCCAACTTTCCGGAGTTTTTAGAGGCAAGCGGATTCATGGTCTGTTTTGATGTTAAAGTTTTTTTAAAAAATACACTCTTTATACTTCAAACCCCATGCTTAGAATAATTTTAGGATTTTTTTAAGGGAGAAACAAATTCTAGAAAACAGTCAAAAACAAGAGAGAACGCTATAGTCGAGTGCCCCGACTATCAGATACCCGTTACTCAGCTAAAGGGAGTGCGAAGGAGATGGAGATAAAAACTTTGATCCGCCGTAACTTTTTAACGAATGGTCCTATTAAAAAAATTTCTTCTACATTTCGATAGGTATTGATAAACACAATAAAACTGCATTTTTACTCTTCCGAAATATTGAAATTTTTAAAATCGTATATTAGCGATTGTGGGCGTTAGAGGGGGCGTGGCACCCTTTTGAAACAAACTTGCGCTACGTAGGAACTCCTAGAATCTGCATCTAAAATGTCAATCTTCTAGCTTTTATAGTTTTACTCAGCTTAACAACTTTAATATAAATATGCCTTCTTGTATGTTTTTTGCGCGCCTCATTTCAAATAATTTACATGAATTCAAAATGTATTCCAAATTAGAGTGACCAGCACTTTTCCAGCACCATCTATGGCACGAAATTGGTACTGTTTATAAATGACTGTGGGCGCCACGGCTTTTTGCGGTTTGTGGGCGTTAGAGGGGGCGTGGCACCTTGATAAAATAAACTTGCGCTGCGTAGGAAGCCCAAGAATATCTGTGTGAAATCCCAACCTTCTAGCTTATGTAGTTTCCGATATCTCAGCGTTCATCCAGACAGACACCCAGACAGACGGACAGACGGACATGGCTAGATCGACTCGCCTAGTGACCCTGATCAAGAATATATATACTTTATGGGGTCGGAAACGCTTCCTTTTAGCTGTTACATACTTTTGCACTAATACAATATACCCTTTTACTCTACGAGTAACGGGTATAAATATTGTACTGATTATAATAAAGAATTTTAAGAAAAAAGATTTAAAAAAAGCTTAGTTACTTACAGTAAATCTGTATATAATTTCGTCACATTCTATAATATTAATGGTCACCCTTTACAGCTGCGGCAAGAATCCTTGGATCTATGTGTGATGTTTGATTCGAAACTTAAGTTCTCAGCACACTTTGATTACATCATGCCCAGAGCGTATGCCAAGTTTGGATTTGTGAAAAGGAACGCATCGCTATTCACTGATCCCTACACCAGACTTGCGCTTTTGCATTTGTCCGATCTAAGCTAGAATATGCAGCTCTTATATGGAATCCCTTTACTAGCACTCATGGAAATAGAATAGAACGTTAGAATCGTTAGACCCTGTTCCTTCATATCACCAGAAATGCAAGCTTTTTCGTCTACCATCCCTTGCGCATCGTAGAAATATCCGCGACATTTGCTTTATCTTTGATTTGGTGAATGGTAGTACCGGAGCTACTCTCGAAAGTTGGTTTTAACGCTCCTTCTAGGCAACTTCGGAATTTTGATCAATTTTTTTTCGCGGTGAGGCGGACTAATTATTCCTAATTATTCCTAATAGGCTCATTAGAAATAGGCTCAAGAAAAATTATTTTGAAATATTTTTTTTTGCCGTTATTATTAATTTTGATTGGGGAAAAACTTTGCATCAAAACATTTTTGTTTTAAGCCCCAGGAAAAAATTTAAAAATTTAACTTTCACAAAATTTGCTCACTTTTCGAAGGGGTTAAGAACATTTTTGTGCCATTTAAACGGAATTGAAGTACTCTTTCTATAGGTGCCAAAAGTTTATATTAAAAGTTCAAAATGTGACTACAGTTAACATTCAAATCTGTCAAAATAATTATGCCTACTAGTGTATTCTTGATCAGGGTCACTAGCCGAGTCGATATAGCCATGTCCGTCTGTCCATCCGTATGAACGCTAAGATCTCGGAAACTATAAAAGCTAGAGGATTGGTATTTGGCATGAAGATTCTTGGAGTTCCTACGCAGCGCAAGTTTGTTATTGTGGTTAGCAATACCTATCGAAATGTAGAAGAAAATTTCAAATCGGACCATTCATTAAAAAGTTATGCGTGATCAAAGTTTTCTATTTCCATCTCCCTCGCACTCCCTTTACCTGAATAACGGGTATCTGATAGTCGGGGCACTCTCTTGTTTTTGACTATGATTTCTACAATTTGTTTCTCCCTTTAAAAAAAATCCTAAAATTATTCTAAGTATGGGGTTTGAAAGATAAGAAGTGTATCTTTAACATCAAAACAAACCATGAATCCGCTTGCCTCCAAGAACTCCGGATAGTTGGCCAATTTCAGCATTTCTCGAACTTTGAGGTCCTTGTGCTAAGAATCCTTGCGTCGGGGAACTTTTTGGAAAACGCAGTTTAACTTTGGACTTCGTAACGAATTCAAAAATATAGCATCCATCGAGGTACATTTGAAAAGCATTCATTTTGTTGCACAGTGTTATTTGTTTGAGTAAAAACTAAATGATTGTAATTATTACGTTCCCTGGTATAAATATCTTGTTTTACATTTATAATAATTTAATAACACAGGCCGACAAAATGTGACATGGGTCGATGTCCAGGCCTGCCACCATTTTATTTCGATAAATTCGGCTTTTCTAAGCATAAGTTGCCACTACGCCGATAGCCCATCAGCTCTGGTATTTGCGGTATCTATAATTTAAGAAAATCACAAAATTTCTTCGGCTTTTGGGATATATCTTCAAGATATCTTTTCGGAATTAAATAGTTACATGTCTCTTTTATACGGTCGTTTTGGAAAATTCAATCTAACTCAACCACAAGAGGAGGTGGGCGCAATCAAAATTTTAAAGTCACAGCAAAGTTTAAAAATCTTCATTTGTGAACAGCGTTTAAAAATTAAATAAAAATATTTTCTTCTACGATGCATTTTTGATCCAAAGTCACCTTATGTCCTTAATTTTTAGGACACTCATCAGGTTTTGGTGAATTGTTTTGGAATTTTAAAAATTGTTTTTCTTACTTTCTTCACAGTGACAATTCACAAACAGTGCCCAAACCTGTCACTATTTTACGTAACGCATAACTATTTTTGAGCACAAGTGACCTTTCCTTTAAAAATATTTATACATGGGCGTAAGTTAAAAGATGGAGGGGGATAACACTTCAGGCATTTCAGCCCCCATAGATTAGTAGGCTACGCTCATGTGCTTATATTCAAAACTACTTAGATCGTTTAGAAATATGTTATTTAAAATTTAAAACAAAAAAATTATTTTTTTTTTAATTTTTAAGAATTCGCGCTCCATCGAAGATATTTTTTTTGCGAATTTTGGGGATGAGGACCGTAAACTAGAGTATTACCAAAATTTGTATTTTATCTAACATATTTAAATAATTATTTTTTTAATATTTTATTATTTAATGGAGGCTTAAATAAATTACTCGTAAGCCAGCGGATCAAAATATTTGAAAATTTTAATTCTTAGCTATTAGGTTCCTATCTACCAATCCCCATCTAAAATTTTGCAATATCGCCTGAGGCCGTTTTCCCATATTTGTTTAAATAGGCCCTTTTATATTTCCTTTTTTATTTTTACGCGAGGGTTTAACGACAAATTCACCAGAGGTAACTTGAGGAAATTGGCAACGCGGTGTCATTTTCTTGTATTTTTTTGGTCATCTGAGTACCGCGGTAAAAAAAAGCCTTGAAGAGAAGTGTCCTCACCCTATTTGCCTCTCGCCCTCAAAAAGCTGGAATAAAAGTGAATGCACTATCAAGAGTAGCAATGTTATCAATTCAGTTGATCTAAATTTATTGTTTTTATCCCAAAAAAAAATTCTATTACAACACCATTAAAAGTGGGTGGCGGATAGAATAGGAAATAAATACACTGCGATTCTTTTGGAGGAGGAAATATATCACCATTCTTTTCCTTTACATCTTGGATACGAGGATCTTTTCATTGAACGTGTTCTACTCGAAATGGGATTTGCCTTCAC